GATTCCAGGTAGATTCCAGGTGGATTCCAGAGATCTGCATCGCAGCGGCTGTTCATGCAGGGCCGGCCCAAGGTAATATGGGGCCTTAGACAGGACAGTCCCCATCCTCCGTCCCTTGTGCCCCTTCTTACTAAGAACCTCAGCATCACTAACATGTTTAAATATCGATAAGGTGATTCTGTGAGAGGGAGACCAGGTTTATTGGCCGAGTTTAAAATCAATCACTGATTATTGGTTATTTGCTGTGATGTATTTGTGAACAAACTCAAACGCAAAGATTACACCCTATTGTAACCATGGTAACACAACAATCAAACTATCAAGATGATTCTTTAAACTTTTACAAGGAAAATTTTCTAGTTAAATCCTAAATTTTCAAATTTTCTCAGCTGAATGCATCAAATAAAATTTTATAACACTGTCAATATTTAAACAGATGGCCAGCCGGCATCTTTAACAGTTTGTTGCTTTATATAAAGTATTTGTTTTTTCACTCCCTAACAGGTAAGATACATCCAAACAACACTTTTCCAGCATTTCTTTGAGAAAAGTCACAAAGGTTTTCCTCCAGAAACTTTCAAGCTTCACCCTTTTGATTCTCAGCCATCAGATACGTTGATGCAACAGAGAGAAAGGGATAATGTCTGGAGCAATGCTATGCAGAGTTGAGTGCCAAACAAGGAGATAAAAACGGCACAACTAAAACTGATTTAAAAAATATATCCTGAATGTATCAAAATACCAGTTAATTTGACAACGTTACTTGTACTTAAGAATTGGGTTTTTGGGTGTTATGACAGATTTCTGTTTAAGTCTAGATTTTATGTTTGTGTATTATGGAAACTCTACCTACTACACGCAAAACAATTACTTTTAACATCCAAGTATCCAACAAACTAACAGTGTACCTGCACAAAAGACTGGGCAGAGATTTTTCTCTTTTTTTTGGAGTAAAAAACAATATTCAGTATTTGGGTTTTAAGGTACCTTAAAACGGTTGGAAAATTACATGTCGTTTGACGCACCTGAAATGACCAAAGGCTCTAAATAATGTTAATTATCTGTGAGAGAAGTTAGAGTACTAACTTGACACCATGATACAGGCTTTTTTCCTCTTCCGCTCGCACATCTCCAAGAAAAACCACCAGGATGTCTCCCCACTACATTCATCTCTGTGCCAGAAAGCCACCCACTATGATTCACCATCCAGTGGGTCTGGAAAAGCTTCAAACTATGTTTCCACTTATTTTCACTGCAGTACCTGGTCGTTTTGAGAGCAATGTTTTTCTGTTTGTAAAACCACTAACCAACTCTGAACTAGAACTCTACCAGGTATCTTTTTTTCCTCTGTATGTGAGCGTTCTTAATTCTCAAAGGCTTCAAAAAAAGATTAAATAGAAGATAATAAAAATCACAAAAAAAAAAAAAACATCAGCATGTTTTAAAAGCTATTGATTACAGTCACTTTAAAACATTGCAAGAAAGCCTGACTTCTTGGACGTAAAATCCTTTAAAAATAAAAAGGTTCATCATGAGTGAGTTTTATGTTGTTTGAAGACCTGATAAACCATTAGAGTTTGGTTTATCAGAGTCTACTGGACCAAAATCGCAACATTTGCTACATTTTCAGCTGGTGCAGTTTGCTTTCACACTGGACTGTGTCAGATGAACCAAACTAATTAAAAAGCCTGTTCATTTCCTTGCCTGAGGTGGCGCTGCACAAGAAACTATTGAAGGAAACGACACAAAAACCAACGAAGAAGACCAGCGCAATTTCCTGCTTCACAAAATCTAAACAAAAACGGAGAAGCGTCAGATTTTAGCGGATGTAGGATTTCTCTTTTGTCTCTGGTGAAAAGCAAAGGAGAAACTGTAGCGCTAGAAACTGGGTTTATTTTGGTTGTATTTACCCACAATGCTCTGCCATGTGGCTCACATCCTGCTTTTGGAGCAGTACCGGTCGGATTGCGTTCACATTCAAACCCCGTCGTTCACTTCAACCGAACCGATGACTTGGTTTTCGGGAAAACCGGAGTTTTCTTTTCTGGTCCGGATCAGAGTCCGATTGAGCATTTACACCTCCACAAAAAAAATCTGACTTTCTGGACAAACGAACTAGAGCTCAGTTCAAGTGAACTGATTAAATCAATCAGTTGCAAAAATAGGGCTGTTCAGTTAACATTACCAGGAAGTAACTATGTAATACGTTTAGATTAATAATACAAACCATTAGATAATACAGTTTTTCTGTCAAAGGTACAAGAAGAAAACTAAAAATGGATAGAAAAGAAAAGGTATGGTAGAGATTGTCAGATTGACGCCTTTAAAAACTACCAGGGACTCGTTTTAAATCCCAGACTGGGGTTCAGAGTCACTCTTGAAACTTGCAGTTGCTTGACATTTTTTGAAGTAGTTTAATAAGAAATGAGTACTGAATGTTGATTCACCATTACAAGCAAAGATAGAATATTATATCTGAATCTTCACGTCTTTACCTCTTAAACTCCAGAATCCATTGAAGCGTTACATAAACAGAAGCTACTAGAACATGACTGAATGTGACCACTGGCTCTCCGTGTGTCCATTACTTAAATCTACCTGCGGCTCAAGGTGAACTGCAGAAACAGAGGCAACGTTTGGAGAAAGCACTCAAAACTAAAAGCAGCATCCTGGATCTCCAGAGTACATAAAAACCTGCAGTTTATGAATATACAATATATGTTTTGCTTTCATCTTGATAAAACTATAATGCAAATTTTCACAGCTACAGAACTAGGTAAAAATAATTATTTCCCCCCTTTTTTATATATTTTGCAACCAACAAGTCAAGATTTCTTCTAATTATTATTATTTTAATGGCTTGTATTGGCTTTCTAAATATCCAGATCCTGGCTACTTTCAGATATATCTTATCCACACCACTCGAACCCTCAACACTAGACTTAAAAACTTTTCTTTTTGTCTGGATTATCTTGAACTTCTTCTGCGTAGGGCTGCTGGAGGACATAAAGTTCACGCACTTTTCTCCCATTTTCTTACCATTCTTACCTTTTTGTACTCTCTTTGCTTTTCTTTCACATTAAAAGTCCTGCCAGCCCGAGGCCTTTTGCGTTACTTTGAGTTTCTCTCTACAGAACCAATGGGAATGCTCTGGGGTGGGATATGTTCTGAACTGGAGCCATGTAAAATAAAGTGATCTGAATTTAAATGGGAAAAAGATATGAAGGTGTATGTGACGTTCTTTCCTTGTGTTTCAACATCTGTTCTTCTTAGATTAAGGCAGCAGAGTGTTGATTGACAGATATCTGCGCTTCAGCCATTTAAAATCTCACTTCCTCTTTGTTTCAGGCAAGTTTTTCTCTCCGTCATTTGTTTGTTTTGAGGATTTAACACATGCAATTGAACGTTGCTGCACTGGTTGCTACACTGTTATTCAGTGCTTTATTTTTATTGTTAATTTAATAAATATCATAAATTTTGTCATGTCTGTTGAGCCAGTTTTTTGCAGTGTAAAATGTTTAAGTGTTGCGTCTAAACATAATAAATAACTTTAACTCAGTTCATTTGGTAGGTGCCACCAGGACATAGTAGGTTCTGATTTCTTTAGTTGAACCTGTTACACATAGATTAGTTTGATAGATATAAATTGTGTATCAATGTGGTGGTTCCCAAAGAAGAGAGTGACTTCTGGCAAACAGCTGGAACATGATTATCTCTTATCTACTGCGTCGACTACAGTGTGATGTGACAAAATAGGGACACCTCATTAAATATTCAGTTCTTGATTACGAAATGTCTGGAAAGCTGATACGTTTCTTGTCGCCATCTGACGGTTTCTGACATCAGAAGAAAGAAAGTTCACCATTCTGCTCACTTTCAGTTGTGAGATTTTTGAGCACAGCGTCTCTGTGGCGTTTTGATCTGGGATTTGACTCATACAGGCTCTTACATTTAGTGGTTTTTAACTTGTCTTTGGTGAATTTACTGGTTTGTTTTGGGCCACTGTCGTGTTGCAGGGTCCAGTTTCAGACCCAGGACTACAGATTTTTCTCCAACATCCTTCAAAATGTGGTAGAAGCCGTGATATATCAGATGATGCAGCAGCAAAGCATCCACAAACGATGACACTTCCACCTCCATGCTTCAATGTTCACATGACGTTCTCTTCCTGTAACACTGTACATATGAATCAACTAATTACATAATAAATTAAAATGAATCTGATTATTTCTATATGCATGATTGTTTTTCTTCTTTTTCTATCTTGCTCAACCAGAGACTGAATAACAAGAGTTTTAAATCTGATGCCTTGGTCTCCACAAGTTCTTTTCTTTGAGGACAATTGTTTACAAAGACTTCAGTATACATTCTAGTTGTTTTTACTTTGGATATTTAAAATGTCTTAAATTGACCTGGAAATTAAAGTTTATTGATCTCTGAGAAAGTGGAATTCTGTTATATTACTAGAAAATGGTCTCAAAACAACAATATTTTCTAGAAGTTTTAAACAATTCAGTTTTATTTATGTTTCTTGAATTAGTCAATATTGTTAAAATTGAAATTGAAAATCCATATTTTCTAATATTTCAGAAAATCACACACACAGGTCTGTTATCTCTTGATCTTATGAAAAAAAAACTTTTGTAAATTAATTGGCAATGATCTCTTTTAAGCTTTAAGCATAACTAATAGCATTTTAAATTAACCAAGTCCCTCATGGTAATCTTAATTTCTTGAACTTAATTGACTCTGAAGAAATACAATGCCAAAGCAAACAAAGTCCAAGGAAAACTTTTTTTTTTTAAATCCCCATTAAGACACTAAAAGCCTGTTAGGATTGAAGCAAAGTTTAAGAAATGATGGAATGGTTTAAAACTTTTGCACAGCAATGCACCTCACACTTATCCGCAGCTGCAATGAACTTCACTCCGTCACAATGCAAAGCGCAAAAGAGACGGCATGGAGTCATTATTGAGACATGAAGCGAATGGAAAGCCTACCTGGTTGGTGTCAGCAGCATTTCAGCTGGAGCAGGTCGGCCTGGCTGCTCGGTGCAAGTCTGTTCCGTCAGCTCCTCTCTGCGTGCTGCAGTGCGTCTGTCCGGTCAGGGGGGGAAGCGGCTGGATGCTCTGCGCAGGTAGACACAAGCTGGAGCTGCAGCCGCGCTCTGACAGGCTCGGAGGCTCGGGGAGAAAGGAGGGAGATGGAGAAAGTGACGCCACAAATGAAACCGTGAAGTGCCCACTCCCTCCCTCCCTACCTCTCTCACTCCCTTCCTCCCTCCCTCCCTACCTCCCTCCCCATCCAGCAGCCGGGATGGAGGTGACGCAGGACGGCCAGGAGGGGGTGTGGGTGCTGGGAGGAAGGGCATCCACAGAAACTTATGCAGAAGATTGAAATGTTCGGGAAGTTATCCAAGGACGCATGTCAGATTAGAGGAAGGATGAGCCAGAGCCATGACAAGTCGAATCAGCATCGACTGCAGCTGCAGGTGAACTGATGATGCAAGTCACCTGCACAGAAAACACAACAGACAAACCAGACACAAAAAAACATATTCAATAAAAAGCATAATGGCCTACAGTTTAAGAAACATATTTCAGATTTGTTTGAATCTATGTTTCTACTTTAATAAACTCAAGTAAACAAAAGACACTTTTCTCCACCAGAGGTAGAGAAACCAAACATTGTACTACTTCAACATGCTTTTACTCAAGCAATCATAAAAAGTCTAAGAAATTACTCAAGTAAGAGTAAAAAGGTATTTGGTAAATAGCTACTCAAGCACAGAGTTTGAGTTGCCTACATTATTGATATTACATCAATAATGTAATATTTAAAAATTACATGAAACATGGACCAAAGTATAAAGTTATGTGGACATTTTGGGCACATCTGAATGAAAACAATTCATACACAATTATAAAATCAGGCAAAAACATGACAGCATCTTTAGATAGAGAATAAAGGAGGGTTACATGTTGGCCCAAAGAGCTCAGAAATGTTGGGGATATCCTCAGAAATCTTCCATCTAATTCTGTGTTTTGTGTGCTGAGTGTCATCGTGCTTTATTATTTATTTTACATAATAATTAGAATTCCTAATTTCACAGTGTTGCAGTTTATTTTTTACATGTTATTTTACATGTTATTTTTTACATATTTTACATGTTATTTTTTACATCGACCAAGGTGTTGTTTTTGTCTGGCTATTATACTCCCAGTTGTACTGACTGAAGGTGATGTTTTTAAATGTTTGACCAACATTGTAAAGCTTTCTGTGTGTTTAAGTGGGCTGTGCTAGAGCAAAGTCATCAAATAAATTTGTAATTCAGTATATGTCTGTGTTTATAAAAAAGAAAAGTGTTAAATCGGTTCAGCGCTGATATCGGTATCAGCGACGAACCGATACTGGTATCGGTATCGGAAATGAAAAAAGTGGATCCGTTCATCTCTATGACTTTTACTTTGCACTCTGACCTAATGAACAGCACAAAATAAATGAATATCAAAAGCACAAAGAGTATTTCCAAATGTCTTTTGAATATCTCTTTAAAAGTTGTTTTAAATCTCATTAGATCAGAGATGACAGATCCTTTTTGTCTACCACATTGGACAAATGGAGAGCCAAGGACATTCTTTGACATATGAAATGAGACAAGCATGATGGCAAGTGAAATTGAAAGAAAGGTCAAAGAAGTAAGCAGTGTCTGATTTAATGTATATAACTGTCCATCATAGCTTATGTGGTACTGAAAGAAGGTTTATGGATATTATTCTGTGCAGCTGTCCACATCTTGTCAAGCCCAATCTTCAGTACATCTCGCTGGGATTTCATGTTGATAAACCAACACAATGTTGTGAACCGTTGATATAAAGTGACAGAAGGTTTTATAATTTCACATAATGTTGCAGATGTGAAGTTTGTCGAAATGTGTTTATTTATTCTTCAAATTCATTTTTGAAGAATAACCGTCAGCTCCTCCCCTTTTCTGTTGTCCTTCTATAACTGTTATGTTTTAGGATCAGCTGCTCTGTGTTGTCTCTACAATTTTTGTTATAGTTTAACATATATTTAACATATATTTTAGACAAATTCATTTATATGCATGGTTTTGTATGTTATTTTGCCATGTTTCATGTACATATAGTGTGTTTTAGCTGTGTTTAATTTTATCTATTAACTGCTGTTAGCTGTTCATTCACCTCTGCAGCTTGTTCAGGGTTATTTATTATATAAAGGCAGAAGCTGCTGGGCTGATGTTAACCACCACCTTGATTTTCTTTCTTGATAGAATAAATGCAGGGAACTTAGAAAACACTAGAGAAGACAGCAGAGATATCTCTGACTAAAATCAATTAGTTTATTCACTTGATTTAACAAATTTCATTATTAATTCACAAGCATTCTCTTACTACTTACCAATAAGTGAAAAGGGAGCAGAAAGAAGTAAAACATCTTGTGTAAATCTGTCCCTTTCTTTTCATGGCCGTATGCATTAAATTTCCAATACGAGTTGCAAACAATATATTATTGTCCTCATTACTAACTATTAACATTACTATTAACTATAAAACAAATTGTTCCATAGTTTTTACTCCATGCAGCAAAATGCATGATAGCACAAACATTTTCACTTTGGAAATTTTCCTCTTTTATTTCTATCACAATTCTTTGTAAGGACAAAGAATGTTTGGCAATAATCTTTTCTCGCTTTAAACTTAACTAATAGCATTTTTAAATTAACCAAGTCTCTAAGATTCAAGATATTTGACTGAATCAACACTTTGCTTTCGTTCACTTTATATAAAAGTCACATAGCTTTATTTGGTGTCACAAACAGAGGGTTAGTGTTGGTTTTAGATGCGTTGCTCCGTTCAGCGTACCGGAGCAACGACCACAAGAAACAAGAACAAACCCCAACAACATGTTTATAGAACCACAAAACAGAAAATCAAAAATAACACAACCTCCATGAACCATGTTTCTCTGTGCAGTGTATTTGGCTAAACGTTTAGCTTTTTACTAGATTCAGATTTATGCAGTCTCCCTGAATGTTTTTGTTGCCTAGTAAGGAAAATAAGATGGGGAAGTGTGCAGACGCTGAATGGTGCTTTGTGGTGGCCGCCCTGTGATTCAGCAGCATCTCTTGGCTCTGCACACCTGAGGAATCTGACGCCCAGGTGACAGTCTGGGAAGGAAATGCCAGCGCTCAAAGAGATCAGAGGTCTTGCTTCAGTCCTGGACCAGCTGCCACAGTGACCTAGATTAACTCCACAGGCAGCAGAACAACATCATTTATACAAGGAATTTCTCCCTCAGAGAACATAAAGAGAAACTTTCTGACTAAAATGTATGTGAACCAACAAATCAGGTTGTAAGGATGACATAAAAGAGAAAAGAAATCTCATATTTCTTTGTAACAATCTTCTAGTTATTCCAGAAATCCTCCATTGTGACTTCAAGAAGATGAACACACTGATGTACTTTCAGGTTCTTTACTGGATAATGAAGAGGTGAAAGTTGTCCTGGTTCTGCTTTTAATCAAAGATTTCACAATGGCTCTTTAAAACTTTCGCCCAAAAAATCACTAGATTGCTTATGTTTTAAATATAGATACACTAACAAAAGCATGATTTAGTAATTTGCATTGCATTAAACTTATACAACAGAATGACATTAAAATTTATATATTCTTTAAATATATTATATAGATTTTTTCTTGTCAAAGTGAGGAAAAGATGTGACTTTTTTCGTTTTATCAGTAATATACATAAAATTGTGGTTATTTGAAAATTACAACAAATTTCGACACTAAACATCTGTCAAAAATGAAAGGCGCTTTTTGTAAACTTCATTTAATATTTGTGGATCTAAATGAGTTTTATTTAGATGAACTGAGAGAAAATATTGGTGTTTGGACTGTTGCCAGATGTTTGACCTATTGGTGTAGTTGGAAATGTTTGAGTTTTTGTTTTTTTTTCATCCTGAGGCCATAATTCTCTGAGTTATGCTTGCAATCAATGAAGTGGTGAACTTACGATTAATTGTCCATTACTGATTTATTAGATGAAAATTAGTTCCAGTTGATTAATTACAATCCTTTAATCCTTTGGGCCTTTTCTCACTGTTGTGGTTCCAAATTGTTGTAGTTTGGCCGCCGTCCAGGAGGGGGCGCCGCTGGTCATCCCAGATCTAATAATAGATGTTTTCTGTTTTCAAATTTAAAAATAAATTTATGTGATCTGAGCTTCATGAAATACTTATTTCTTATATGTGTACGTATATTGTTTCTTTATACTTTTTATTATTAACTATTATTTAAGGTGTGTGCTGTAAAAGGTTAAATGATTAAAAATGGCTTTTCACTCAAAGTTTTATTGTTTATTGAGATAAATTATATTATTAAAAACCTCCTTAATTTCAGTAACTCAATTTACACCCCGAATTATGTTTTCAATCCTATATTTCAGTAAATTATAATTATTTTCCGTTTACTACCAATGAAAACACAACATTTACGGTTAAAATATTTTATCAGACAGATAAAAATAATACAGAATACAGAAATCTGGCTCAATTATGAGTATGTTTATTACGTACTTAAATGTGTTTTTCAAAAGCATCTGCCAAGCACAACATTGGTCTGCAAAACTGACGCTATCAGAAGAAATGAAAGATCTAAAGAAGTTTGTTTTATCATTTGAACCACTATAAATTACAGTCACACACAAATATGTGCTTGCAGCTGACTAAATCTCCCCAAACACAGTTAAACATGCAGGCAGATGATGGCTCAGAGCTGCATGAGGGCTAAAGTTACATTTTCCAGCAGCCTTTAAACATCCAGCCTATAATCAGCCTCTGTCATTACTGAAGCTGCAGCTTAGATCATGTGCCGAGTCCAGAGCAGCACATGAATTTAGTCAGAAACGGTCTTCAGATGTTCTGGACGTCCTAGGGGTTTTAAACGCGCATTGTCCACCACTCCATCAGTTTGCTTTTGACGTAATCTCACGCTCAATAAGCAGTTTCTGCTTGTAAATTCAGCTGTTTTACATGCAATGGTCGCTGCCAGGTGGGACTCATTAATGCTTGCGGTGGAGGAGCAAATATGACTCAGCTAAACAGCAGCAGAGCCTCCAGTTTACTCTTTATGCATCTTTGATTCTGCTTGAGTCAC